TCCGGAGAGCAGTCTGGGGGGGATGCGGGCCTGTCCTGGGTGTTCCCCTCTGGCACCCATGGCTCCCCAGGCTTGGGGGTCTCCGCGGCGAGCCGGAGGTTCTCCAAGGCCTCTCGGGACCGCCGCCGCACGATGCCCAGGTCCTCTATGGTGATGGGGGAGCCGACGGGTGCGCATCTGCGGTTCTGGGCCAGCTTCTTCAGGACGCTGCCGGCTTTGCTGCTGCCGGTGCGGGGTCCCGGGGTGGAGGAGAACCAGGAGCGGCTGATGATCTCCGTCCGCTTGAGTTTCTGCTTGTCCTCGTAGGCTGGGGATGGGGAGGCAAGAGAGGGAAGGAGGTCCACAGCCGCCCTCTGCCTTGGCCTGCCGTGGCCCGCTCATGGCCGGGGACCTCCGTATCTGCCCACCCGGTCCCCCTTGCCCACTGGCCCCCCAACGCACAGTCCAGGGTGTGGAACTTGAGCAGGGCGGCCAGCTTGCGGTCATCCTCCGTCTCGGGCACCAGCGGGATGGCCAGGCTCGCCTTAGCCTGCAACGCCTGGTCCCTCTCCTCCTCCTCCTGCATGGCTTTTTTCTTCTCCTGTGTGGTGGGGGACAGGGTGGGGGAAAGGTAGGGTGGCTGTCGAAGACCCGCCTCTCCCCTGCCCGCTGACCCGGGGCGCGTGGCGCCACTCGGTTTCCTCCTCTTCAAGCTCATCCGAGGCAAGGGCCTCACGCGGTGCCCGGGACGTGGAAGCCACCCAGCAAGTGGGCGACGCGAGCAGACATCGAGGGAGGACCGTGCCCCCGGGGGTGCGAGTCGGGGTCTGCACGTGAGCCCTCAGCGACTCTGCACTCAGGCACTTGTACACTGAAACACGCACGGCCACGCTTCGTCGTAAGCGACTCTCCCCTTTCAGACATTTTTTACCACAGGGTACGGCAGAGATATTTTGGCAATCGTGCGGGCGTGGGTTGATGATCTCGGGGCTCCGTTCTGGGACGGCTGCGTGGACCCGTGAAATACGTGTTAGGAGCTGAGTAGTAGGTCAGGGCCCTGCTGGGCCTCGGCTGTCCCCCTTGGCGGGGCTGGGCCTCATCTGTGCTCTAGCTCGAAGCTTTCTTTCCCTCGGAGAGTCTGCTGAAGGCAGAGCTGGGGCTCCCCGGAAGGGGCTACCTGCTTAATAACAGCTGCTGGGCCAGGGGCTTCCCGTGGGTGCCCCGAGGTAGGGACGTGGTCCGATGGGGACACTGAGGCTCAGAGGGCTAAATGGCCCAGCGGGAGCTGGCATGTGGTGGGGCCAGGGCCGCATCTGCGTTCTCCCCACTCCGACGTCGGTGGCCCCTGCCCCCTCGTGGTCCCGACGCCACGTGGGAGCCCCACTCACCCGGAACCTTTTCCGCAGCATGCTGTTGAGAGCGAAGTCATCCTTCCAGGCGCTCTGGGCCTCCTGGATGTGGCTCAGGGTGGGGAGGGCCTTCTTGAGCGTGCTCCGGTCGGCCTCGCCGTGCTCCAGGCGAAACATGGCGTCCGTCTCCAGCTTCTGCTTCTTCTCATGCTCTGCCACAGCGAGAATGCGGCAGGGCCTTCGGGCTCGGGCTCGGGGCTGGCCTCCGGGCCCACCCCTCCCCTGTGCTCACCTGTCGTCAGCACCTGCTCGTTGTCCTCCATGTCCCAGCGCTCCTCCTTGCGCTGGGCGCCACTCACAATCACGTAGTCGCAGTTGGCGGGGTCCGTCTGCATCTCGATGTAGTTGACACACAGGTGGCATTTCATCCGGAACCTGGGTGGGCAGAGGGCGCACGTCAGGACACTGCGGCGGCCCCAGGCCACCCGTCACCCCTCGCCTGCTTCCTTCCGCTGGTGAGCATCATTCGGGAAGCGTTCACTGAGCACCTGCTACCCACCAAGCTCTGTGTCTGGGGTCATGGCTGTGGGTGAGACACACACCGTCCCATCGCCCCAGAGCTGACCTTCTGTCTGGAGTTTGCTCCTTCGTGCATTCAACAAACCCTCCCGAGCAAGGCTGCCCTGCGGCAGGCTTGGCAGCAGCTGCTGAGGACACGGCGGTGAAGGATGTCAACCTGCTCTTAGAGGGGCTGACATTCCAGCAGGGGCCATGCTCGCAGCAAATGCACAAGCAACCAGTGTTGGGGGGTGAGTGCTGCTCTGGAAGAGGCCTCTCTGAGAGGTGGTGTTGGAGCAGAAACCCAAGGAAGGAGAGGGAGCCTTGCAGATGTCTGGGGAAGAGCATTCCAGGCTGAGAGCATCGAGGTGGGGGGTCTTCCTGGGGGGGGGTGTGTGTGTGAGGGAACTCAGGGGGAGAGCGGAAGGAGGTGAGGACACAGACGGGACCGGGCAGAATGTGCAAGGCCTTGTGGGCAGTGGGGAGGACTCAGGCTTTTTTTAGTCTGAGGAAGGTGGGAGCCATGGAGGGTTCTAGCCAGAGGGATGTGCCCGGACTGACAGACCAGGACAGTTTCCAGGAAAAGACCGTTGCAAATGGCCATCAGGGAATGTCTGCCCTCCTATTGCGACTCCTTTGTAGCCCCCTCACCCTGTAGCTAACCAATGTGTCCCTCTGGGTACACCCGCCAGGCTGCCCCTACCTGTAGATGGGCGTTGTGTAATAATTGCCAACCTTCTTCTTTTCTGCATTGTAACGAACACCTGGGAGGAGAGGGAAAGAACGGAGGCTCAGGTTCAGGCCACCCCCAGCATGTCTGCTGACAGGGGGCAGACAGGGGTGCTATTCCGTGTACCCGCAGGGGAGACACCTCTGGAGAGCCCTGAAGCTCAAGGTGGGAAAGAGCTGTGTCCAGGCCACACAACGGGTGCTCAAGCCACAGAGGAGTGTGGGTGGCGGCAGGAGGGTCCGGGTTCAAATACCGACTTCACCGCATACCAGCTACGCGGCCGTAGGTCGGCTGCTCAGTTTCCCGACCTATTCAACAGGGACGACTATCCTGTTCACCACACAGCGCTGCGGTGACACCTACAGGGGCTGACGATACACACGCATCACTTAGCACGGGGGCTGGGACTTGGCAGGTGTTCAAGGAGGGTTGGCTTTCACTAATAACATCTGCGTTTTCGGGTTTTTCACTGATTAGATGGTTTGTATTCTTGACCGGTTTAGTCTCGCTTATGGGGTGGAAAAAAAGCTTTAAACCACAAAAACAGAGCTTGGGCTGGCGGGTGGCATGGCCTGAGTTTCCCTTTCCCGGTGGCTGCTTCGGTTCACAGCCCTGAGGGTGACCCACCTTGGGTGTTGGGCTGCGTCCTGCTTTCTGCCCCCTGAGCACCCGGGGGCCTTTGGGGCAGGTGCCCCTGGCTGGGTCTGATCAGGGGGACCTACTGGGTGGGGAGGATTCACTCATCCTCCGTAGCAGTGGGGCGGCCCAGCCCCTCCTTCCTGCTCTTCTGTGGCCCCTGTGACAGTGGCCAGCCCCTACTGCCAAGGGCCACCGCTCCCGTTTACAGAATGAGCTGCTGCACCGGGCCAGGCGCTGCGTGAAGAGCTGAGGGTCCCTGTATCCGAGGAGGACGTGGAAGCCAGGTGGGTCATGTCACCTGCCTGAGATCTCAGAGCTGCCCAGTGGGGCCGTGGCCCCACGTCTGTCTGTCTGCCCATCTGTGGCATGGACAAGGGTCCAATATTAAAGGTCACAGCACAGGCAGCAGCGGTTTAAGTCCTGAGCCCTCGTGTGTATTCTGTGCCGTGGGTTATGCACTTGGCCTGCCACACAGCTTTCCTACCACGTGAGTCTTATGGGTAGGTAAACTGAGGCACACAGAGACTAAGTCACTTGCTGAGGTCCGGCTAGCTAGGAAGTGGCAAGGCCGAGCCTCCCAAATGCTCTGTGACAAGGTGTCCACAACCCACCAGTCACTCGGGTGCCCGTTTCCTCTCCGAAGCCTGATCGGGGGCCCCTTGTGGAGACGGTCTCTCCTGGGCCCAGCGGCCAAGGGGCTGGCCATCTGCGGGGCTGAGTGGTCGGGGGCGGGGCGAGGAACGGAAGGGTGGGCGGGGCTCACCCATGCCGATGTGGTTCTTGCAGCCATCGCACCAGATGTTATAGGGCATCTCAAACCTACACGAAGAGAAAAGAGCTCGTTGGCACCCGGTGCGCTCGGGCTCTCCCTGGGTCCGCGCACCCGCGCCAGCCGAGGCCACGGCGGGTGGGGGGAGCCGAGGGGAGGAGCAGCGGCCCAGCCAGAGTTTAGGAAACTTGCTGCACTGTCACTGGACTTCTTCTCCGTGCTTCTATTTGCGACGCGTGACCTGGCCGTTCATGTACGGGAGCGACAAGGTTTCCAGTTTGAGACACCGTTATGTAAGGAATAATGGGGTGAAGGAAAGACACCGTACAGATGAGCTGAGGGCTCAGCAAACAGAGCGGCTGGAGCATGGAGGTGCGGGGGGGTTTTGTGTTTTGAAGTGACCTTCAGCTCTCGGCTTCCTGCGGCCACTGCTGGGCCTCCGATCTTGATTCTTTTTCCAAAGACATTCTGACCTCTCGTGATTTTGTCAGTGGATCTGCTCAGGCCCACGATGGACCATGGAGACTGAGGTCAGAGTCCACGAAGCAGAGAAGGGCTCGTCCTTCCGAGGCAGCATAGGCTGGCTTCTGCTACTTGTCCTGGGTGGCCCGCGGGGGCACGGGCCAGAAATAAAAGGAGAGCCCTGCGGGAAGGGCCACTGTCCTGGCTCAGTGGCAGTATGGCTGTGATTCTTTCTCCTCCCCATATCCGTGCCCTTGGCAATGTGTCTCTGCAGCACATCCTGTCGAGAGGTGGAATGAACTCACCGCCCCTCCCCCTGCAACACGACTGGGCCATCAGTGAGACAGAAGTGACAGTGTGCCAGCTCTGGGTTGTGGCCTCAAGAGTCCTTGCCTGCCTCTGCCCAGTCTCTTCTGGAAGCTGGGTGCTCCCATGTGAACACGGCCAGGCTAGCCAACTGGGGGATGAGAGACATGTGGAGCAGAGCCCGGTCGTGCTGGCCCAGGCCATGCCGGACCAGGCAGTCCCCCAGGCAGGTGACCCCCGACGCATGAGAGAGCCCAGCCCAGGTCAGCCAAGCCCAGGTAAGGCCAGCAGAGACATCCAGCTGAGCTGCAGAATTGGGAGCAACACATAATACACGTTCATCATTTTGTTACCCGGCAACAGCTGACTGATAACAGCGACTTTCTGCTTTATGGAATTAAGGCCCTGCCAATGGGGCAAAATCAGGGGCGCTGAACTCTCCCAGAGACCGATGCCAGGTGGCACAAATGCAGGGATCCTCAGGTGATGCCAGGGTCTTACCTGATAATGAGGATGCCTTGGGACAGCTTCCGAGCCCGCTCCCGTAGCGGGTGGCTGTTGTGGTATCGGTTGAGAGAGCCATGCTGCACGGAAAGGACACAGGAGCAGGTTAGCACAGCAAGGCTGTCTCTCGCAGGCTGAGAGAGGCCTCTTTCTCAGGTCCTGTGGGCGGTGTTAACAGCAGACTGTCAGGCACTAAGGCCTTGGTGGGGCAAGTGGGGTTGGAATCAGGAATATGTGAGTCTGAATCTTTGTTCTTCTGTTGAGGAGCTGAACAAGCTGCATGACCCCGGGGAGTGACCTCCCTTTTTGCTTTCCAGCCTCTGTTCCCTCTATCTGTTGACTGGGGGCAGTGACTGTCATCACCTCTGGTGCTGTGGGGCAGACCAGGTGAGATGTCAGTACTGGTTAGTGTTTACTGGGTACTACGTGTGTATCTTCTCTTTTTCTGTAAAGGTGACTTTACGATTTATTTTTTTTTTCTAATTACCTTTTTTAGTGTTTATTTTTGAAAGGGGGGTGGGGAGGGGCAGAGACAGAGGGAGACACAGAATCCGAAGCAGGCTCCAGGCTCCGAGCTGTCAGCACAGAGCCCGACGCGGGGCTCGAACCCACAAACCATGAGATATCATGACCTGAGCCGAAGTCGGTCGCTTAACTGACTGAGCCGCCCAGGCGCCCCAATTTTTTTTCAGTAATCTCTATACCCACCCTGGGGCTCGAACTTACAACCCCAAGATCAAGAGTTGCACCTCTACCGACTGAGCCAGACGGGCGCCCTGTGTCATCTTGTTTCAACCCCTCAAGGATCCTGTGACATAGGGCCGTTTTTTATTTTCCCCTTTTGACCTATGGGGAAACTGTGGCACAGAAAGGCCAGTCATGTGCCCAGGACCACGAAGCTGGGATGCGCCGATTCACTCACCGGGCCCTTACTGAGCACCTACAGCGTGGGACCGCAGTTGTGAACAGGACAGATGAACGTCTCTGCCCTCAGGTGGACATTCTAGAGGGGGACACGGAACAACATCCATATGAAGGGATAGCGCATCCCAGAGTTGTAACGGCTACGATGAGAAATAAAGCCCTAGGTGACGCCACAGAGAACGAGACGGGGGTCAGGGAAGCCCCCTGTGGGGAAGGAAGGGAAGGCGCCTGTGGTCAAAAGAAGAAGAGATTCCAGGCGGAGGGAACAGCACAGGGAACAAAGAGGAACGCAGAGGAGCCAGAGCTGAGAGTGCAAAGGGGGTCTGACGCAGCCCATGTGCTGGACTTCACCCTGACCTTCGCAGGAAACGGGCCATGCTGGGCCCAGGGTAAAAGGTCACTGACCACACAGCCCCATTTTCCACGAGGAATAAAGACTGTCCTGTGGGGCGCCTGGGTGGCTCAGTCGGTTAAGCGTCTGACTTCGGCTCAGGTCACGATCTCGCGGTTCGTGGGTTCGAGGCCCATGTTGGGCTCACTGCTGTCAGGCTGTCAGTGCAGAGCCTGGAGCCCGCTTCAGATTCTGTGTTTCCACCCCCCCCTCCAGCCCCTCCCCTAGTCTCCCCTCACTCTGTCTCTCAAAAATGAATAAATGCTTAAAAAAAAAAAAAAAAAAAAAAGACTGTCCCGAGACTCCTGTGACAAGTGCAAACCAGCGAGGCAGTGACACTTCAGAGGCCACCCGCGCTCCTGCAGCCGTGGCCCTGACGTCAGGGGGGGATGCCGTGCTACGTGGCCCCTGCTCTGTGGAGTCTCTTTGCTATCGTGGACACAGGGAAGGGAACCCGGCCTTACCTTTTCGGGATTGAAATCCGGAGGGTAATACTTGTTTACACCTTTCCTTTCACCCTGGAAAGCAGAAGAGACATGTGACTCAGGGAGGGCCCTCCAGGAGGCCTGCAGGGGCAGGGCCCGGATGGGGGGCCGTGGGGGGGGGAGGTTGAGGGACATCCCAGAGAAGCCCTGGGCTCTGGGTTGGACTGGGGACCGTGACTTGGGGACTGGCGAGCCACTGTCATCACAGTGGAAAATTACAAGAGAATCCGACTTTGCTAAAGCAAGGGCTTCCCGTGTTTTGGGGACCATGACTGACAGCAGGACACGTTAACACAGCCGCTGCGTAAACACGCGCGTCATACAGCCAAAGCACAGCACAGGCTTCGGGAAAGAACGCCTATCCAGCTGCCAGGGTCTCACTTTCTAAATGCTGGCAGCCGCCCAATAAATTGACCTGATGACCCAGGTAGGAGTGGGTCTCCAACTTGGCCGAACGTTGCGTGCACCTGACGAGTTTCTAAAATCCCTACGCCTGGGCCCCACCCCTCCTGACGAGGGCTCCTCCGGGGCCTGGCACCCGGACCCCCGGGCTTTTAAAAAGCAACCTGGAAACAGATGTTTGGACAAATCGTTGTGCACGCACGCTCCTAGCAGCCGTAGTGATGACAGCCAAATGGCAGAAACAACTCAAACGTTCTTCAACGGATGGATGGGGACCCACCATGCGGCAGATCTGGATGGTGGAATATTATTCGGCCACAAAGAGGAATGACGTCCTGACTCCCGCTACGACGTGGATGAACCTCAAACACATTGTGTTTGGTGAAAGAAGCCAAATGCAAAAGGCCACAGAGCGTATGATTCCACTTACGTGAAATGTCCATGTGGACAGGAAGCAGACGGGTGGTTGCTGGGGGCTGGGGAGGGACTGCTCGTGGGGACAGGATTTCCTTTTTGGGGAGATGGGAATGCTTTGGAAATAGATAGAGGTGGTGGTTGTCCAACAATATGAAAATACTAAATGCCACTAAATTGTACACTCTAAAATGGTGAATTTCATGTTGTTTGAATTTCACCTCCGAAAGAAAGAAAGAAAGAAAGAAAGAAAGAAAGAAAGAAAGAAGAGAAAGAAAGCAAAGGAAAAAGCTCCCTGGGTGATTTTAGTGCAATGCCAACTTTGAGAACCAATGCACCAAAAAGATCATGATCCGGAGTTTGGAAATACCTCCTTACAGCCTGGGGTGGGGGAGGGAAAGGGCTACTTCCGGGGCCTGACAAAGACCAGAAGAAAAACCCGGTGAGCACGAGGCTGTCTACTCACCATCTTGTGAGCTGCCTACTGATCCCTCGACTGATCGGCTGATCTGAAGAGGTGATGAGACACGGATCGCAGATTGCGCGGTGTCGACTCCCTGCCTCAAGCCAGAAGTCTCTTGGGACTCCCTGGAAAGGAAAATTGCTAACTACGAGGGCTCACAGTGCCATCATCCAAAAGTGTCTGGTAACAGGGACACCTGGGTGGTTCAGTCGGTTAAGCGTCTGACTTCAGCTCAGGTCATGATCTCACGGTTCATGAGTTCGAGCCCCGCGTCGGGCTCTGTACTGACGGCTCAGAGCCTGGAGCCTGCTTCGGATTCTGGATCTCCCTCTCACTCTGCCCCTCCCCTGCTTGCGCTCTGTCTCTCAAAAATAAATATTGAAAAAAAATTTAAACTGTTCTGCCATGACCCTGAACATCTCTTCGCCTCAGATCCTTCATCTGTAAAGTGTGCCCTTGGACTGGATTTTCCCAAGGTCGCTTCCAACCTAACAATGCTAAGTGCCCACCCCGGCTTGGGATACAGTTCCCTGGGGCTGCATCCCACCTCCTGTCCTCACTACCTGGGTGACCTCAGCCAGTGTCTGAGCTTCCCTGAACTTCGACTTCCTCATCTGTAACGAGTACATGAGGGTGACCGGACTGACTTTCTGGGGTTGCTGTGAATGAAGTAAGATGCTGGAAGTGTTCGCGGGGGAC